AAAAAAAAGGGGGCAGCCCGGTGCATGTAGCTCCCGCTTGCGCAGGGTCCGGGGAAGGGTCCGACTACAGCAGCAATAGCTCAACAAATTAAACAAAAAGAAAGTTTCATATCGGTATGCATTGGAAGGAGAATGCTAGAACACGCAGATGTATCAGCTAGAGCACAATATGTGTGAAAATACAAGCTTCTGAAATTTGTTACAGAAATTTTCCTACTAAAAAGATAACTGAATTTTGTGTACTGGAAGTTTACAGTGAAGTTTCAGTAACTACAGTAACTGAATTTACAGTAAGATTTCTCACTCCATTACACTGCTATTAACTGTATTATTCTACTGTTAACAATCAGAATTAACACTATATTATTCAGTCAAGTTGATGTTCAGAACCTGTCATTTTCTTCCAAAACCTGTCAATTTCTGTCTGGTTTTGATCTGTCAAGTTGCTGTCAAACTTGACACATAAATAAAATTTGACATCAATGAAATTTAGACAGTGAGTACAGTTTGAACAGTACTCCACTGTCATATTTTCAGTGACTAAAATTCAGTTCTGACAAATTGAAGCCTACTCTATTCTACTCCTAAATTCTGAGCTTGAGTCAAGCAGGGAATACTAAATGGTGGACGAGGCAACAATTACACTTGAGGAAGAAACACTTTGATCATCATAAATACTCCAAATATTGTTATACATTTTTAATGGTAATTTCACCCATAGTAACATTTCCAGGTGTATGAACAGCTATTTCAGTCAAGCATATGTATGTTCATCTTAAGCATATGTTCAGGAAAATTTACAGTTATACAGTCAAGCATATTGTATGTTCATCTCAAGCTAATAGTAGTTGAACATTGGAGATCAAAGCATAATGTATGCCCAATGCTGTTTCAATGTGTGGTTGCTCTCTCAAATTACATGGCTAACAGTAGTTTTAAAATCACCAAGGACGCATCTGTACTCGTCTAGCAAGCTCACCTGAGATCAACGGAAGCAGCATCCGTACTCGTACTCCATTCCTCTGCACCAAGTCCTCCTCCAATCGCTGCACAATCCAAGGCGACAAGAACAAAACCAGCTCAGCTGCTTGCTTCACCAAACAATGTTCGAGCTAGCCTTCTTCCTGGTGCACACGGTTCGAGCTGGCCCTACTGAATACAGCAATGTAGAGAGCATCAAGAAAAATGAACTTCAGTCCATGAAAGTGCAGAGTTTAAGCTCTATTCAGCAAATGAAAGCAGCAATACAAGGGTCTGGGCCGGCTAAAGTAAACATTCGACCTCTCTTGCTCGATGGTCTCGACGGGGGTGGGCAGGAGCGCGAGCCTCCAGAGCGTTGTGGCGTCGCGCACCTCCTCGAGCACCTCTGGCATCTTGACCAGCCGGCCCGCGGTGGAGGCGAGCGAGATGACGGCGTTGGCGTCGACGACGGGTGGACAGGGGCCAGGCCGGTCGAGTTGGCGCAACTGGACACGATCCGGCTCACCGCCTGCGCGGACGACTCCTTGGCCACCGTCTCTCGGCGCGCCATCACGGCCGCACCCCACGCCACGGGTGCCGGGGCGGCGGCGGCGGGGGGAGGCGGGGGCGGAAGGCAGCGTAGCCGACCGCCGAGCCAAGGGCCCGCCACGCTTCTTCCATCAACGCTAGGAGGGACGGGGTGGGCGCGAGCAGGAGATGCGGCGGGAGGAAGAAGAAATGATTTTTGGGGAAAAAGAGGAGAGATTCGGGAGGCAGGCAAGGGAGGCAGGGATTCTACGCGAGGCAGAAGGGAGCGGCGGAAGAGGCAGCTGCGGCGGTGGTGGAGGACACACGGGAGAGCAGGAGAGCTCCGGCGTCCATGCGCCTGTGTCGGAGCGGCGGAGTGTCGACCGGAGAAGACGAGGAGTGCGGGTTATGTCGGAAGTCTGGGGAGGAGTATTTTGCAAAAACGTTACGGAGACAACTTTTCCCGGACGGAGGGAGTACCATGTGAGGAATAAATCGAATTTGGTTGTACTAAATACATGAGAAACAAATACAATTGCTATATTTTCAAGTTGTTAAGCATGCTTGGTCTGGTTAATTGTCTGATCTTCTATTAGGAGTATGTTATATTGTGTAATGTGGTGCTCAGTTAACGTTTGGTTTATTTGTTGTGGTGTTTAGTTAACTGCTTGGTTCAATTCTGCAATGTGATGTTCAATTGTTGTGGCTGCATTCTTTTATTGTATGCCATGTGAGGAATAAATCGAATTTGGCTGTACTAAATACATGAGAAACAAATATAATTTCTATATTTCCAAGTTGTTAAGCATGCTTGATTTGGTTAAATGTCTGATCTTCTATTAGGAGTATGTTATATTGTGCAATGTGGTGCTTAGTTAACGTTTGGTTCATTTATTGTGGTGTTCAGTTAACTGTTTGGTTCAATTCTGCAATGCGATGTTCAATTGTTGTGGCTGTATTCTCTTATTGTATACCATGTGAGGAATAAATTAAATTTGGCTGCACTTAATACATGAAAAACATATACAAGTGCTATATTTTTTAGTTCTTAATCATGCTTGGTTTGAATAAATACTACGTTCCTAACAAAACTTAGTTTGTGTTGGCAGCACAAATTAATTCACACTAAAGCACGAGTTGCTACTAGCTGGAAGCATAGATTTTCCCTAAAAAAAGGTCGAAACCTATCAAAATGTGATATAGCTTCGAAGATCCCAATGTGAGAAATGTTTGCGAGTTCAACAATTTTTTCATGAATTCAAAAAATGTTCAGGAATCGTAATAAAAAATCACAAGTTTCCAAAAAATTTATGAATTCAGAAAATAAAAGTGATTTTGAACTAATGTTTGCAAATTCAAAAGATGTTCATGAAATCAAAATGTTATTGAATTTTAAAGACACACAAATTAAAAAAAAAAGTTTCTTGAATTATAGAAAGTATTACCAGATTTCATAAGTTTCACTAATTTGGGAAATGTTCATGAATTTCGAAAAAATATTGTGAAATTCAACAAATGTCCGTGAATTTCTAAATATTTTATGGACTGAATTTTTTTCACAAAATTTGAAAAACTTTCAGAAACTTTAAAATTGTTAATGGATCAATGAAACATTTGTGAGTCTCAAAAAATGTTCACAAACTCAAAATTTGAACAAATAAATATAAGGATAAAGGGAACACAAAATGAAGTAATAAAAAGAAATAAAGAATTAATAAAAAACGAAATACCGAAAACTAAAAAATACTCAAAAAGAACGCACCCTTTGCTTATTGAATATGGTGTGCGTTTGACTGGTATCCATTGCGTTAGCTGGCCATAGGTGTAGCCTTCGCACCCTTTGCTTCTTTTTGTTTTAATTTTACCTCCTTTATACACATATTAGTTAATTATCCATGTGTTACAATTTGGGCATACATATTCTACTGGTTCAACATCCATCTTGTCTTACAAATATCTTACGCTCACCATATTCTTTATTTTGGTAAGATTTAATTTGATTTGTGTATGAGCAGGAAAAGGCAAGGAAAGTTTTGCTTTAGTTAAGCCTTTGATAAGATTTAATTTGATTTGGGTACGTAGGGAATGCAATGAAAGTTTTGATTTAGTTGAGATTTAATAAAATTTATTTAATTTGATTGAATTAATGTAATACATGGTTTTTAGAAATCATAAATTTTGTTTAGATTACTCGAAATTCCTGTTGGTTTTTTTTCTACTGCACCGATTAAGATTTACAAAAAGAATCAACAAGAAATAAAAGGGGGAGGGATACGTGGGAAGAAAAATTGCGGAGAAGCCAAGGCAAACCCACCAACTCCCTTTTGTTTGGTGATTCAACCAACTCCCTTTTAATAGTAGATATTTCAAAATATTCCAAAAAGTATAAAAATAATATGCATCAAATATTTAAATAAATCATCATAAAAGAAAAAATATACTCGCAAAAAATGAGCACAAACTTTAAAAACAACTATTTGCCTTTTTAATTAAAAAATATGGCATTTCAATACTTTCACACATTTATAAAAATGATCATGACATTTAGAAAAATATTATTACCATCCACGAAAATGTTTACGTGCTGAAAAAATTATTCATGGCATTTTCTAGAAAATGTACATGAGAAGTGAAAAATTGTTTGACCAATTTTTTGAAATGTCTATGACATATAAAAACTGTTAGTATGTATTTAAAAACAGAGGCACAGCATTTATGGAAATGTTCACATGTTAGAGAAATTGTTTGTGCATTTAAAAAAATGGTCACCTATTTAAAAATATGTTCATGATTTTTTAGATGTTCTAGAAATGTAAAATTTTGTTTACAGGCTTTTTTAACATTTTCATAGCATATACAAGATATTTATACCATTTTTCAAAATGTTCATTCCACCTGGAATGTGTTCATAAAAATGTAAAATTGCTATTCATGCAATTTAAAAAAATCATGACGTGTAAAAATCACTGTACACTAAAACGGAAAATGATTAAAAGAGTTTGTAGACATGCACTGACGTATTAACAAGGATGAAGAAAACGGCAAGAAACAAAGACATAGTTTTTTCTTTTGCATCCGCATGTTTATTAATCTTTTTAACATAGTGTAATCGATAGATGCTTACATATATGCATATACATTCATTATTTCGAATGTACACATGCACACTGTAAACTCATGAGCACTTTCGATATACTAAGCCCACACCACATTTTGAAATTGATAAAGTCATCACATATAAGCAAAACAAGAAAAAAACATACAAGAAGCAAAGGCAGAGTTGTAAGTGAAGATTTCATGACTTTGAAGCTACAATAATGACACATCAGTATGTGCAAGTGAGTCATAACAAATCCGTGTATATATAATACACACACTTATACACTTGACCCACACACAAACAATATAGCACGTGAGTTTGGCCCCTCATCCAATCCGACGTGCGCGGGAACAGTAAAACATGACACATGAGGAACGCATGCCCGCTCCATAGCTCGTGAGCTGAACGTGCTCTACAGCAGCGCCGGCGACATGGCCGGGCTTGCCGCGCCCACCGCTGTCTCCTCCTTCTTGTCCTGCGAAAGGAACGGCGCCTCGGCGTTGGCGTCGGTGCAGTAGAGGCACGGGTGCTGCTCGAACCCCTGCTCTTCCAGCACCGCCCTGGCCTTCGCCACGAGCTCCCGGTTGCTCAGCGGCGCCTGGTGCGCCGCCAGCACGCTCTGCACCGCGCTGCTGAACGCCCCGCATGCCTTGCCTCCGCTGGCCTCGTACGCCGGCACGTCCGCAGAGGTCTCGTTCGTCTGGCACCCGCTCAGCAGGATGCCCTCGTCCGGGCGCGGCGGCGTTGGCGCCGGTGCGGGCGTGGTGGACAGGGCGCTGCCGTTGCCGCCGCCGCCGTGAACGTGGAACTTGGCGCTGGCGTCGGCGCCGAAGAGCGCCACGAGGTGGTCGGCGACGTGGTGGGAGGAAGGCATGCCCGAGACGGCGGAGAGGTGGTCCAGGAGCGCGCCGTAGGGAAGGAACCGGGCGGTGCGCGCGGACGGCGCGCCGGGGCCGGAGCCGACGGAGGGCCCGATCTGCTCCTTCTCCTGGTCGATGAGGCCGCCGCTGTGGCACGAGTCGGACACAATGGTGAAGCTCGCGCCCGGCGGCACCCGGTCCACCAGCTGCCGGAAGTCCACGTCCGTGATGAGGTTGAAGTCGGTGGGCACGATGGCCTCCTCCTCCGCGCCGCCGTCGCCGTGGCGCGGCGGGACGAGCGTGCCGTGGCCGCTGTAGTGGAAGAAGAGCACGTCCCCGGGGGCGGCGCGGGCGACCATGTCCGCGAGCGCGCGGCGGATGTTGGCCCCCGTCGGGAGCACCTCGGCGCCGCGCCCGTCCCCGTCGGTGAGCACGGCGACGTCGGCCGGCGCGAAGCCGAAGCGGGCGACGAGGGCGGCCCGCACGGCGTCGACGTCGTTGATGCAGCCGCGGAGCTCGTAGCGCGTGCCCACGTAGTTGCAGCCCACCAGCGTGGCCAGCCTCTTGCTCGCCTCCCCCTCCATCTTCTTGCGTGTGTTCCGATCCAATGTACGTAGCTAGCTTCGTCACCTCAGCAATGGATGAAGAGACCAGCAGGCTACCGTGTGCAGATGTGCGAATGTCCCCGACGATCGTGAACTCGTTATATGGAGGCTTCTTCTCTGTTGCTTGACTGTGGATGCAATGCAAGAAACGTGTGCACGGGGTTAAGCAATCCATTTCTGCATATCGTTTCTGATATATTTCCAGTTCGATCAATTTTAACCTCGTCTGGTAGTACATCCTACACTACTACTATGGAAATATACTTAGACTAGACGCCTCATCAAGGACGGTTTTTCCATATCTTCGGTGTGGGCGGTTTTGCGAATCATTAATCGGTACACAGAGCACGAACAAGATCAATGTCACATCGCAGGTTGAGAATTGAGATATCGTCCCTCGTTCCTTTCTAGTGGGGGAGAGAGCTCCCTTGCGTGCAAGAAATGTGTAAGCTATGTGTCTTACACATAAATAATAATCGGGTGTTCCTTCAAGCGTGTAAACCTCCCAGTTTACGTCTCTCTAGCAGATGCTTCTGCCAGGCTTCCATGAAATTGCGTAAATGTCAAGTTAAGTATCCTCCAATTAGTTTGGATTGCGCTTGCTTCTACGCATGGATCGATAATAAACAGTGAGGGTTTTCTTAGATCGTCAAGATTGATCGTGATAATTATTAGGACCACGAATATGGACATGAATTTCCGGTGGCAATGGCGTGTAATCAAAAAAAACTTCCAGGGGAGCTCTCTGTTTTTTTTCTGAACACGGTGCACACCCAGGAATATGACCCTCAAATTTTGTTTTTCTTTTTTCCGTGAACAAGACTTCACTATTCGGTTTTTAGGAAAGTGAACAAAATTTTAGTTCATTTTTCTGAGACAAGTGAACAAGATTTTAGTTTTTTTCTTTTGAGACAAACAAGATTTTTTTTTGAGGGGAACAAGATTTTAGTGAAAGCTGGCGTCCATATGTTTCTTAGAGCCCACTGGCCTTCAGATGGGGCTTTGGGCCACAAAAGCCCATCGTTTATGATCCGATCCGTGACCCGGGCACGAACCGTGCTTCTCTGTACGGGTGGAAAGGCGTGGTCGGACGGCGCTACGAGACGACTCGACGAGCGACAGAGGAGCGGCGCCACAGGCCTCCGACAGCGTCATCGCCGGGCGCTCGCGCCGCCCGTCGGCGAAAGCTGGAGGAGTGCCGTCGGCGTCGAGCACGCCGAGCAGGCTCCAAGTCGCGGGGCACGAAGCGCTCTGCCCCTTCTCCTAAGTCCTGACTGTTGGTTTTGATCTGACGGCTTAAACAGGCCAGTTAGATCTATTAGTCTAACAGAAGAAAAAAAAGATAAAGGCATAACGATAAGTGAAGGGGTCCACGTACCAACGTACGTGAGCCTCGATCAGAACAAACGCGCCTTGATCGGGGGCGCCCAAAAACCAACTCAGGTTTTGGGTCCCCTGTCGCCAGCGCCATATTAAAAGGGATACGGGAGAGAGCTGGGCACCTGCGAGATCACAATTCACGTAAGGTTTACTCTCCTCCCGATATTCTCTCACCCCATCCGATCAGGGGGAGTGCTGCAGCGACGGGAAGACCTAAGCCAGCCGCCGCCGCTGTCCCTGGGCAGTGCCGGTGGCGTCCTGAAGGAATCATGACGTCGAGGAGAACATCTACTTCGACTACATCACCCCTGCATCACGCCTGCACCGAGCAGGCGATCATGTCCACTCCCGTGACATGTAAAGAAACCCTAAACCCTTCTCTGTTCATGTTGTGAGGTGATCTAGATGCAATCTGTTCCTGCTAATGGCATCCCAGAGATGCATAATTATTCCCACAATGGTATCAGTCGCCAATCTTGATTGCAATAGATTCCTTTATTGTTGATCAGTAGATCACTATCATGTTTAGATCAATGACATGTTTAGGATTCATGATCAAGATTGAAAGTTTCAGCCCCTGGTTAGCCCAAATATGCATGCTACTGTCTTGATGCCCCTCTGTAAATCATCATGTTATATACTAATTTGTCACGGATCTCTACTGCCTATTATGCCTAATCAGTTTACTTATGCTTCTGAGAATTAATGCTCATGATTAAGTTTCTGCTAATTAGGATTGATTGTTTTTAAGTGTTGTTTCCGTTTTGGACATCAAGTTAATAAGCAGAGGGATACACGTACATCAACAGTAGCAAACCCCTTGTTCAAGAACCCTAAATTTTTTATTTTTTATTTTCCCCCCAATTTCGATAGAACCCTAATTCTGAAATTAGGATTGCTTTTTCCCCACATCAAGCAACTAATGAACACGAATTGGAGAAGCAATGAGGAGAATCCTCACCTAATGCGCCGCGTCGACGTCTATCCCCTTCGGGGCCCGCATGGCCGACACCATGCGAGGACGCCGATGCCGCGACGCCGCCGTCCCTCGGGTCGGCGCGCGGAACGCCACGCCGCTCCCTCCCAACGGAGAGACCGTGCGGTAGGACGCCGTGGGCCGCCGTGCCTCGACGTCGCCGTTCAGCAGGCCGCTGGCCCGCCGGGGTGCTCCTCCCCACCCCGCTTGGACACGACCCGGGCTGCCATGCTCGACGGGAGAGCGCGCGGACTTAGTCCTGCGCCCGCTCCTCCGGCGAGCACCGCCGCCGCGTCGGTATGGACTGGGGTGGTCGGCGTTCTCGTCGCCGCCGTCGACCTCGAAATGGAGCCAGCGGGATCGGGAATCAGATGCGGGGGAGAGGGGGAAACGACCTAGGGTTAGCCCAGGTCAGCTAATTTTGCTCCGGCCGCAAGCCGCGCGAGCCGTCAGATTCGATCAGACGGCTCACAGTGTCGCGGAGCTATGACCCGGGCCGGCGGGCGTTAATGGGCCATTTTTGGCCACGGGCTTCAGCCCAAGTTGCCTTAGCCCAGCGCGTTTTTTTTACGGTTTTTCGCTGCTGGGTTTTGGGCCGCTGTATAACCGTGGGTATTTTGGGCCATCGCGTTTTTCTATGATTTCCAGTGCATGTAAGTTAATATCTTTCATGTTTTGCACTGTTTAAAACAGAAAATGCCTAAAAATAAAATGAACACATTATTATTCTGGGTAAAATTGAACCAACGAGATTTTTTATTCATGATTTATTATGTGTTTTGCATGATGAATTTTTAGACATCAAAAATAATGATATTTTCTTTTATGTTGATGTTTAAATTAAGAATGAAATGACTCTAATTTTAATTCGGACCAACGTTGTTTTATTATTATGAGTCATCCCCTATGATATTTTAAATTCATGTTTTTTCTGCCCAACGGTGTTTTGACATGGAGTTGAAATTAAATACTTGGCATGTTTGTTTATTTACCAACGTAAATTTATAATCATGCAAGTTTACTTATGAACTTTTATGATGATTTCAGCTTCCGCTCCATTCCGGTCCGACACGATCGAACCACTTACGGGGAGTAACTTCCCTCGTTGGAAGTCCCAAGTAGAATTATGTTTGGGTTGTAATGAATTTGACTATGCCTTGAGGGAAGAAAAACCTGTGGCACCTGTGGCAGGTGTCACAGGGTATGCAGAACTCAAGAAGGAGTATGATGTTAAGATGGAAAAGTGGAATAAGTCCAACCATATTGCGCTTCTCATCATGAAAGCGACAATATCGCCGAACATTTCTGAAGCACTCCCTAAGAAAGATACTGCTAAAGATTTCCTCACTGAAATGGAGGAGCAATTTAAAGGCTCCGACAAAGTGTATGCTCATGAGCTTTTTGCTAAACTTCTTCAGAAATACACTATTGACGGAAATGTTAGGCAGCACATATTGAGGGTGGTAAATGCTTTCACCAAGCTTAAGGCTTTGGAGTGTTCTTTAAGTGAAGCCCTTCTTGTCATAATTATTCTTGAGTCTCTTCCTGAAGAGTTTGAACAATTTAAGGTCAACTATAACTCTCTAAAGGAAAAATGGCCACTCTCTGAGATGACCGCAAGGATCGTCCAGGAGGAAGAAAGGATCATGAGGCGGAAGAAAGACCATGTCTTTCATGTTGGCTCTAACAAGAGAAAGCATGACGGACAAGGTTTCCCTAAGCCTCAGAAAAGGCAAGTCAAGAAAGAAGGCACTAAGCCATTCAACCCTAAGGCATTCAAGGGTAAAGAAGCCGGTGGTTCTTCTTCTGCTCCTAGCAGCTCCACTGCTGGAGAAAATGCTTGTAACTTCTGCAAAGAAGAGGGACACTATCAAAGGGACTGCCCAGGCTTTCTAAAATGGATGAACAAAAGAGGTATTGATGAAATTACTTTTGTAGATGAATCACTTTATGTTGATTTTTCAATAAAGTCATGGTGGATTGATTCAGGGGCAACCACTCACGTTGCTAACTCTATGCAGGGATTCGATACGATCCAAACCATAAGAGGAGGAACAAGAAAACTTAAGGTTGCGAACGGAGTTGAGGCCGATGTTGAAGCTGTGGGATCTCTCACGTTGGAGCTACACACTGGCCACACTCTTAGATTGAATAATGTTATTTATGTGCCTACCTTAAGTAGGAATTTGATTTCAGTTTCTCGTTTAGATGATGATATGTATGAGTGCCATTTTGGCAAGAAACAATTTGCTTTGATCAAATGTAATAAGAATGTAGGCATCGGTGTTAGACGAGGCCAACTATACATGTTATCTCTTCATAATGATTCAGTTATGCATGTGAGTGATGAAATTAATGTTGAGAAGAAATGGAAAGGAGTAAGTGATTCTTCGAAATTGTGGCATTGTCGTTTGGGCCACATTTCGAGGGGGAGAATGGAACGCTTAGTTAAAAATGAAATACTCCTCCCATTAGACTTCTCAGATGCAGACAAATGTGTCGACTGCATTAAAGGAAAATTTGCAAAAACAATTAAGAAAGGTGCAGTTAGAGCCACAAGGGTTTTAGAATTAATTCACACCGACATATGTGGACCCCTTAATGTTAAGTCTGTAGATGGTTTTGATTCGTTCATTACATTCACAGATGACTTTCCCCGCTATGGGTATATTTATCCCATACGTGACCGATCGGAAGCTTTGGAGAAATTCAAAGTCTATAAAGCGGAGGTTGAAAATCAACTGAATGCAAAAATCAAAGTTGTACGGTCTGATCGCGGGGGAGATTATTATGGTAGGCATGCTCCTTATGGGCAGATTCCTGGACCTTTTGCCAAGTTCTTATCTGAAAATGGAATCATTGCTCAGTACTCAATGCCTGGTGAACCACAACAAAATGGTGTGGCCGAGCGCCGCAACCGCACCCTTATGGATATGGTGCGAAGCATGCTTAGTCACTCTAGTTTATCAGTAAGCCTTTGGATAGAGGCATTAAAGACAGCTGCACACATACTAAATCTTGCTCCAACTAAGTCAGCACCGAACACACCTTACGAGATGTGGGCGGGAAAGAAACCGAGCTTGAATTACTTACGGGTGTGGGGTTGCCCTGCTGAAGCTAAAGTTTTCAATCCACAACTTAAGAAACTGGATCCAAAAACAGTTAGTTGTTTCTTCATTGGATACCCTCATAGGGGAAAGGGATATCGTTTTTATTGTCCAAGACACACCACCAAGTTTGTGGAGACTAGACAAGCGGTATTTTTTGAGGATAATGAGGTCACAAATTTAAGGGAGATCAATCTTGAGGAGAAGCGGGTTTGTGTACCATCCCCGACTATCCAAGAGATTGTTTTTCCAATATGAAGAAATGTGACATCTGATGATCCTGAATCTCACGGTTCAGTCTCTCAGTCGAATGGTGATCCAGAAACTAATAATGAGAATCCAAACACAAATGAGGATCTTCGAGAAAATAATGAAAATGATGATGTTCCACCACCACCTCCGCCCATGGGTAGACCACGGCGTGAGAGGAAGAAAGCCATATCAGATGATTATATCACTTTTTTGATGAAGGACATGAATGATATGGGAAAGGTGGAGGATCCAACCTCATATAAGGAAGCCATTAAAAGCGAAAATCCGTCCAAATGGTTGGTTGCCATGGAAGACGAGTTGAAATCTATGGGCTCAAACGATGTATGGGACTTAGTAGAAGTTCCCGATGGAGCTAAGAAAGTAGGCTGCAAGTGGGTCTACAAAACCAAGTATGATTCCAAAGGGAATGTCGAACGGTTCAAGGCAAGGCTAGTGGCAAAAGGGTATACACAGAGAGAAGGCATTGATTATAAGCAAACTTTCTCTCCTGTGTCAACCAAGGATTCTTTCAGAATCATAATGGCATTAGTAGCTCATTACGACCTGGAACTACACCAAATGGATGTTAAAACGACATTTCTAAATGGTGACTTAAAAGAAGATGTCTACATGGCTCAGCCAGAAGGCTTTGTTGTGGAAGGAAAGGAACATTTAGCATGTCGTCTAAAGAAATCAATTTATGGCTTGAAGCAAGCTTCAAGAGAGTGGTACCTCAAGTTTGATAAAATTATCAAAACTTTTGGTTTCACCGAAAATGTTGTGGACAACTGCATATACGTTAAGTTTAAAGGCAGTAGGTTCACATTTTTAGTCCTATACGTTGATGACATATTGTTGGCATGTAGCGATAAGGATATGCTGCATGAGACCAAGAATTTTCTGTCATCCAGTTTTGATATGAAAGATCTTGGTGAAGCCTCGTATGTCCTCGGCATCGAGATTCATCGAGATAGGTCCAGAGGAACGTTAGGACTATCTCAAAAGGCATACTTTGAGAGAGTACTGAAAAAATTCAATATGCATAAGTGCTCACCCTCACCTGCTCCTATAGTTAAGGGCGATAAGTTTGGGACATTTCAATGTCCGAGGAACCAATGTGAAACTGATCAGATGAAGTCGGTTCCTTATGCTTCAGCTATTGGAAGCATCATGTATGCTCAAGTGTGTACACGCCCAGACTTATGTTTTGTAACCGGGGTGCTTGGCAGATACCAATCAAATCCAGGACCGGACCACTGGAAGGCCGCAAAGAAAGTCTTGCGTTATATGCAAGGAACTAAGGACTTCATGCTTACATATAAAAGAACTGATAACCTAGAAATTGTTGGTTATTCAGACTCTGATTTTGCCGGGTGTGTGGATAGTATGAGATCCACGTCAGGTTATATATTCACACTCGCGGGAGGAGCTATATCGTGGAAAAGCTCCAAACAAATGTTAACTGCTGGATCTACGATGCAAGCAGAATTTGTAGCATGTTATGAGGCCACCGGGCAGGCTGTATGGCTAAAGAATTTTATATCCGGACTTAAAGTGGTTGACAGCATATCTAAACCAATTTTATTATACTGCGATAATGAACCAGCAGTTTTCTATACGAGTAACAACAGGTCAAGTAATGCTGCCAGACACATTGACATAAAGTATCATGTTGTGAAAGATAGAATCCAGGATCAAACAGTTGATGTTAAACATATAAGAACGAAGCATATGCTTGCGGATCCGCTAACAAAAGGCTTACCACCCAGTATCTTTCGTGAGCATGTTGCCGGCATGGGACTACTGGAGGCCTGATGATTCTGGAATAAGAGGACCATTAAAATAAACCACTCCCCAATTAGTAAAATGTTTTCCATTTCGAAATAGGCGGGTGTACTATAAGTGTTGAGGTTCTATGGCGTTTTGAGCTGTTGTAACACCTCACTTTGGTACATCATTCCTATGTAGAATGGGCGAATGAAGTTAAGCCTAACGATCAAGGGGGAGAATGTTGGTTTTGATCTGACGGCTTAAACAGGCCAGTTAGATCTATTAGTCTAACAGAAGAAAAAAAAGATAAAGGGATAACGATAAGTGAAGGGGTCCACGTACCAACGTACGTGAGCCTCGATCAGAACTAACGCGCCCTGATCGGGGGCGCCCAAAAACCAACTCAGGTTTTGGGTCCCCTGTCGCCAGCGCCATATTAAAAAGGATACGGGAGAGAGCTGGGCACCTGCGAGATCACAATTCACGTAAGGTTTACTCTCCTCCCGATATTCTCTCACCCCATCCGATCAGGGGGAGTGCTGCAGCGACGGGAAGACCTAAGCCAGCCGCCGCCGCTGTCCCTGGGCAGTGCCGGTGGCGTCCTGAAGGAATCAGGACGTCGAGGAGAACATCTACTTCGACTACATCACCCCTGCATCACACCTGCACCGAGCAGGCGATGATGTCCACTCCCGTGACATGTAAAGAAACCCTAAACCCTTCTCTGTTCATGTTGTGAGGTGATCTAGGTGCAATCTGTTCCTGCTAATGGCATCCCAGAGATGCATAATTATTCCCACACTGACCACAACCCGAAGAACCAATCCGCGTTTCACCACCATGACCACACCCATCGTAATAATCGTTCAGCAGCTCGCACCGCAACGGCGACCCGCTACTGCTGCTGTCAGTCAATCTCAGCACCCGTCGCCTGAACTGTTTTCCAGAGCAGACTTCTCTGTTTTTTCTCCTCCGACCCGAAGCAGGGCAAACGGCGCCCCCCCAATTGCATCAAGAAATTGAAAGATTCATTCAGGTTACCTCTATTCCTCCTTACTACAGTACGTACCATAGGCTAACAACAACTAGGAGAGCAACAGAGCATGCCAAGACTGCAATTGGCCGACTGATTGATTTAGGTCACAAGTGCCAACAACACTGCTACATCTACAAGTACAAGAAAAGAAGACTCTTCAGTCTTCGCTCTTATAGCATGCCAGTGCCACACAAACACACGCACTGCTCTATAGCACTACCTACACAGGTACTCTGTCAGGTTTTACTTGTAGTGTTGGGGGACTGCCAGGAAAGGCTTGAAGGTCAGCAAGAGCCCAAGGACCTCTGTCACGTTCAGTAGAAGGAACACCATCTGATCACCTGAAAACACATGACGAATTATGAGATATACTATACAAAGCGACAGTGATACACTCAAACCATATGATAGAAATGCTAAATTCCACCTGGTTCAGTTCTATGGAAAACAAAACTGGTTTACATTGTACTTTAGTGATCTAAACGCTCTTATATTTCTTTACGGAGGGAGTACTACCTATTTTTGATTACCGTAATTTAGTGATTATAACACAACAACTTATACTTTAACCATTGAGAACTGAGAAGACTAGTGATGCTGCAATTGATATATTTCCTGGAACTGCACTTTTTTTACCTGGAAAGAACGCTGCATGCTGGCGCTTCTGTGCCCACGAGAATCTGCAATCACAAAACGTTTTCAACAATAAGTTTATCTTCTTTTTTTCAAAACATATTTATGGCTTATTAGAATTGCTTCAGGATTTTAGATTTATCTTCAGGTAACACAGCCACATGGGTTCACTACACTAGCAAAGTAATAATAAGACTAGCACTGATATTAATGATTGATGGATAATAGCAGCATCTCTGTGTTTACTGAACCAGTATTTCCACAACAGTCCCATTCTTGGGCAGAAACCATTGTTCAAACTGGGAAGTTCAGATCATCAAATACTTTACTCTTCTTCTTTATCTTTCCAACAAATAGGAGATTAAGAAAGCAAGACTACTTACAGAATACCTGCCCCTGCTGGAGCAACAGACTTGAACAAGGACATTAATGTTGTGGCTATTCCATTCGCAGCACCTCTTTGCCCTTGTGGCTGTCAAAATAAGATCCAACACAAGTGAGGAATTTGTTTATACATTAGTGAATTGGAAAATATTGTTTTCCGTGAGAAAGATCTCAGGCAGTGTTCCAGTGAACTGAGATAAGTTGGCCACGTACCACGGCATTGTTTTGTAGAAGAGAAGTGCCGGAAACTCTAGTTATCTGATCAACATCGCAGCGATGAGCATTCGTGAAAGGAAAATATTTGAATTGGACATGCACTAATTCTTATCTATGATGATTTATTGGCACATGTATGTAACCATTTGCTAGAAGTAAAATGGCTTAAACCTAGGAACAACATTCTCGTAAGTACTTACAGCGAGAACGCTTTTAATCATTGCTGCAATATAGAGAGCCAGACCAAGTCTTATTCCTGACAAGCGTGTCATAAAGGGATAAGCAGCAATAATTGGTATAGACAGGGCCTGCAATGCTAATGGTCAATTTACAAAAATAGGAGACAGTGAATTATTAAGTAAACTGAAATTGGCATAAAGAAAAAGAGTGACATTAGTAAGAAACTCACAGATGCAATGCGGGTTGAGTTTACAGGTCCTAGTGTATTATTGAGCCAACGATAAACAAAGATTTGGTATACAAGAAGACTGACACCTACAGTGTAACAGATTGCATGTTTACAGCTTAAAATTAAATCACTAAGAGGTATGTAAAAATGTTCAAAAAATTAGGGAATAAATAGATTAAACTATGCTTACCTGCCACTGTAAGAACTTGACCGACATCCTTAGATGAAAAGCTAAGTCCACCATATTTTCTACCACTTACAGTCCACAGGGAAAATATCTGATGTTGAATTGTAACAAATAACGGTTAGAAAATTTAATCTTGCATGCAGCAGATGAGCTTTGCATGAAAAATATGTATAAATTTTAGATACAATGGGTCAAAAATTAATATATTTTCGGTTTTAAAAAAGAACTAATATATTTACTGCACCTAGATCTGCAGTATCCATTTGGAGAACTTCTATATATCATGATTTAATCATACTGTATATTACCTCACTATATGCAGTGTCATGAAGGGAGAAGACACAATATGTGATAATGGACGACATCAACGGCCAATTTTTCCATAAGCTCTTCTTAGGTGACTCTGTACTTTCCTGAGTTGTGCCAGCTTCAGCCGTTTCAGCTCTCATTTCAAACTTGGCGTGCTTGTGTAGTGTTTCCTGTTTAGTGCATCGATGTGAATACATAGCATTCAAACAAAACTCAATAGATATACATATACAGTATGCATAGTTCAGGTTGTACATACCGGAAGCCATATGCAGCTTATGAGGGCGAATGTTGCGAAAATTGATATGCAAAGACATGGAAGAAGATATGGGAACCTGCATGATTGGGATCGCGGACATGAAAATGGGCAAATATTTATGCCATTTAGTATGAAGAAATCAATGATAGGAGAAATGAGTACCTCCCAAACGTTGACTTGTCATGGAAAATGTGTGGATATTGTTTGGCTGGCTGGTAATAAGTAGAAAAAAAAATGGTCAAATGAAAATCTCAGTGAATATGATTAACGCCTGTGATATTACCTGAGCAAGGTAGCCCCCAATTGCTGGGCCAATTATAAGGCCTAATCCCCATGCTGTATTGACCTGAATGTTTATGAAAGATCAAACTGAGTTCATGATATGCTTCGGTGTTATTATGGACTATGCATAGGTAGTTAAGTGTTTTATGTCGAACTGAAATTACAATTGATATGCCCAAAGCTTGTTCGTCATCCCGGCAAACTTCAATGGAGTAAGCCTGCAGCCCCGTGTAACCATAACATTATCGAAATAGACATTTGACATGATTAACAAAAACAGCTGTTGATCATTCCTGCAACTGTCCCTCGAGTTTTGTTTTTTAAGGTACCTTGATTGGTGCTAGAAATCCGTTTAGTGCACCAAGAAGCAACCTTGTAGTGATAGCCATCCAATATTTCACACTTAATCCGAATAAAGTGTTGAACACAATGCTGAAATGTGCATGAGGAAATCAGTGTACGCTTTTCTCTCTCTAAAAGACAAGGAAATGAAAATTGAATGTTGTGCTAAATTTTCATCCGTTTGGAGGGAAAGATAGTATCACAAATACTTACACCGTGAAAAGTGAAAATACAATTACAGGCTTCCGTCCGATGCGATCTGCAACCATGCCCCAAAAGATCGATGCGAAACCTCTACCAACCATATATGATGCACCTACAGTAGAAATGTAACAGTTATGTACCGAATATTGACATTATTCTGAAACAAAGTATGCATGAGTTTCGTTGCTCACTGAAACTTTTACTATGTATGTACAAAATTAGAATTAATGTTGGTACATTTGTGAAACAAAGGCATGTGCATCAACTTTGTTGGTACAGAATGGCAGTTATGTAGTACAAAAACTCTTACCAAGAAATCCAGCATAGAATCCAATATCTTCTTCTCTTTGAGCAACGTGCAAGTCTTGTATCTGATTTAGAGAAGGGAAAAACCTGAGTACTTATATTTTTTATTTTGCAAAATATATATCTTAGGAAGATAGCAGATCATAGGGGTTATAAAAACGTTCAGTAAAATAAAAAGAATAGTTGGCTGGTGATAACTAGGATACGGACAATTGCTCTCCTTTATATATGCCACTGAATTTTGCATGGCATCTGCTTTTTGTTAAAAACGGGTGAAAATAGCTTACTGGCAAAAAGGTAAATTTTGCATAGATACATGATGTGTCTTAGCTATCGACCAACCGAACAGATGTCTGGGCAGTTCGAGAATATCATGCATATTCTATTTATTTACTTTATTAGGGTGAGGTGGACTATTATGTAGTCTTAAAACAACCCAAATGATAACGCCCACACGTGTGGTACGAAAGCAATTCTGTCCACATGTTTTTTGTTAGCAAATTTAGTTGTGAAGCATGGCAAGTTTCAGTTTTTTTGAGATTTTTTTTAGATGACAACTTTAATGTAAAAACAAAACGTGTGGGTGATGTTACTACATGCCACACGTGTGACAGTTATCGGCGTCCTAAAACAAACACACATGCCAAATGAAGAGTGAAATCCAGCTAGCTACATGAAGAAAGGGAAAATGGCATGGGTATGTGAAGGCGAACTCACCATGAAGTAGAGAAACGGGAACAGCGACGTGATCGGCAAAGCTGAAAAAGATGGATGGAGACAGAGGGACGGACAGGCAGAGAGGATCAGTCATGTTGGGAACCCAACAGAGTAACAACATTATAATATGTCAATCATATATGTGCTCCAAGAATGATACCACTACGAGCAAGAACTGAGGCAGAACGCAGAAGCATTATTATTATTAAGAAACGAGTACGTGCAGTGGGTATAAGATAAGACCGAGAGAAGGGATGAATTAAGAAATACTACTCCAGCTCGCAGGAGCAAGACAAGACAAGAGCAAGATATCGACCATGCCAGTACCAGTAATTTAATCATCTTGGTTGTAGACAGGGAGTAGTATATACTGACATGATGCAAAGGTGGTGATCCCGACGAAGAAGAGCTCCTTGTACGGGGTCCCCGTGCTGCTCTCCTTCCTCCGCTCCATGGCGCACCCGGGGCACCCCTCGTAGTACACCTTGGCCGGCGCCGCCGGCGGCGGCGGCGTTGGTGGCGGCGACTCTCCCATCCTTCTCAGCCAGACGACCACGACGACGACGACTACTCTGAGATGATGGCTGGCTGGCGGAACGGGACGACGGCAGATGCGGCGGGCTGAGCCGGGGAAGGAAGGAGGAAGAGGCGGCTGGCCGGGGCGGAAGAGGAAGGACGAGCGGCGCCGATGGAGTCGAGTGGGGGCGAGTTGAAGAAGCTTGTCGTGTGGATCGTGTCTTGGTACGTGTGCCCCGCTTGGCAGCAGACGGCCGGGGCGCCGCGAGAGGGACACGTCACGGCTCAGGAGCGGCGTGACGGACCGCGGGAGCCACCAGCGCACCAGATCACCATCGCTTCAGTCCAGACAAATCCAGCTTACAGCAGTACTACGTCGTTACGGTAACTGAAGCTATATGGCAAAGGTGAAGAAGGTACGTAGTTCGAGCGATGGTACTGGTATATATAGAGAGAAAGTGCCAGGTGCAAAGCTGAGATTACAGTCGCATGCATTGTTCTGATGCAAAGGCCGAGGCTGATTTTTTTTTTCATAAAAAAAAGCAGAGCTGAGATTTCTGGGTTTTGAAAAATAAGATACGAGCTTGGTCGTCTCTCCTTTAAGTAGTTATTTTATAAATTTACTTTACTTAAAAGGGATTTAAGGTGGATGGAGTATATAAGAGTATTATACTTGAAATCGAACTGATGCATTCCACGGCTTAACTTATTATAACGAGTAAAAGCAAATAAAACAGTTTTGGAAATATTCCAACGGCCTGACCAAAGATGAAGATGCCACCACCATTCACCAATCTCGTCCGCCGCATTTTCTTTTCCCCACAAAAACAAAAATAAAACGCCTACTCGTCCATCACATCTTCTTTCCCCTGCACAAAGAAAAGAAAAATGAAACGTCTACTCGTCCATCACATGCACAGTCTTTCCCTTTTCCCTGGTCGGAAGTGGTCATCTTGGATATCCTTTTGTCGCCCAACATAAGTGGTTACTGACACGTATTTTTTTCATTCGGAATTACTTGTCGCCGAAATGGATGTATCTAGACGTATTTTAGCTTTAGATATATCCATTTTTCAGACAAGTAATTCCGAACGGAGGGAATATTAATCTGCGGACTTCGCGACAGCCGATCAGTTCGGCCATGCATGATAAGTAAGCATGATGCCATTGAATGAACACAACCAATCCTATGAATCATGCCACTTGCTAGAGTAGTACGTAGTCGGTGACAACAGTTCTTCATTCACATGCCGGAACTCATCACAACGGCAATTTTGACGAAGATCCGCACCCAATTACTCCTGTAGTCGTTTACTTATTTTATGATGAAATGAATACGTTCGGCAATACCTTTGAAGGAATAAATATATCTAGACATATTTTAGTTTTAGATATATCTATTTACATCTATTTCTGCGATAAATATTGTTGGATAGAGGAAGTATTAATTACTTCTGTTTTTCTTTCTTTCAAAACTTTTTCCTTTTTTTAAAACTTCTATACTTTGCGGCGAAATTACTAATTAAGGAATATTCGTTGCAAAGAACACTTCATTTTTCCAGGTCGCGACAAGTGGCGCAGATGCAGCGCGCCACTTGTTGCAACATGGGAGTTTTCCCTTTTTCGTAGATTCGTTTATTCAAAACGCTTTTTCTTTTAAACCGTGCGTCCAAATCTCGAACCGTTTTCATCATTGGATTCCTCGCGTCGAGATCTTCAAAACTAGATTCCCTGTTGATAGGTTTTAACGAACTTTTTTTCATGAAAAAAACCGGACGAAAAAACCAAACTGGGAGCACGGTTTTTTCCTTTCCGAAAGAGGCACACCCGTGCCTCTCGCGAAATCACACCCGTGCCTCTCGTGGAAGCAAAACCGTAACTCTCGTGGAAGGAAAAAACATAAAAAACGCGTTTTTTTCGTTTCCTAAAGGTAAGGCCGTGACTCTCGTGAAAGCACAACCATGCCTCTCGCGGAAACAAAACAGTGACTCTCATGAAAGAAAAAAAAACAGAAAACGCGTACTTTTTCCTTTCTGAGAGGCACGGCCGTGACTCTCGCGAAAGCACAACCGTGCCTCTCGCGGAAGCAAAAACATGACTCTCGCGAAAGAAAAAAAACAGAAAACGCGTTCTGTTTTTTCCTTTCCGAGAGGCACGACCGTGACTCTCGCGGAAGCAAAACCGTGACCCTCGCGAAAGAAAAAAAACAGAAAATGCGTTTTGTTTTCCCTTTTCAAAAGGCACGGCCGTGACTCTCGTGAAAGCACAATCGTGCCTCTCGCGAAAGCAAAACCGTGACTCTCGCGAAAGAAAAAAAACAGAAAACGCATTTTTGTTTCATTTCCGAAAGGCACGGCCTTGACTCTCGCTAAAGCACAAGCGTGCCTCTCGCGGAAAAAAACGTGACTTTCACGAAAGAAAATGCGTTTTTTCGCGCAAAAAAACCGTTTTTTTATCGAAAAGCTAAGAAAGACCGAAGGAAAACCAAAACGTCGAAAAAACCCGTTTAAAAAGCCGAAAACGCGTGCGAAAAAATAAAAAAATAAAATCCGAAGAAAGCGTCCAGAACGCGACACGTGGCGAATGATTGAGAACGCGCCAAATGGCGCTGATCGTTGCGAGGCTCCCGAAGAAGCGCTCGTTAACTAGTTGCTCCCACTTTGCGGGGACAGTGGTGGAATGGCCAGTGGCAGGAGTAAGGACATGTCTTTGGGCCAAATCCTATTTGTTTGGATCATTCACGAGCGGCTACTTAGGGTTTTTTTTTTGAACAAAACATGGCATCAACAGGTGCCTAATTCCATTTCAGCACTTTAAGAACAAGTACATGTAAACACTCTCAGCTTCTGGAGATGCAGCCCCCCGCACCCACGCTCCTGCGGCGTGCCACTCCGGCGCCCGCAGCCACCATAGCCGCCGCCGTTGACTCCTCCTCCTCCCCTCCTGGCGCCTCCTCATCCTCTCCGCGGTTCCCTCCGGGGTTCCCTACGCCGCAGTTCGGGCGGAAGGAGCTGGTGGCCTCGCTGTTCCCCCAACTGACGCTGACCACCCCAGATCTGCATCCTCCAGCTTCCCCTCCTCCATCTACGGCCGCGGTGGCTGATGCTGTGGTAAGCGAGCCCCAGCGCCGGGTCTGCTTTGACATCAATGAGGATCTCCTTCAGGATACTCCACCCCCTCCCATTCAAGGCGCCCATCGCCCTTGCCTCAAATCGGCGCCTGCTGCCGCATTCAAGTCGCGTGCCCGATGGGATGCGACGAGCCCTCCCTCAAGCCCTGCGCCGGCTACAGGGGATTCAAGTCAAGCTGCTCCTGCCGTGGCCGCTCAAGATCATCAATGGAATTTGGTGCGTCCTGCATATTGGTGGAGAGAAGGCCGCCCTAGCAACCCACATTCAAGACGGCGACCTGCGGCTTCTTATTCCCCTCCTCGTAGACAGGGCGAGTTCGTCAAGCTGCAAGACAGAGAGTGCCATCGCTGCCTACTGAAGGGGCACTGCAAGGCAAGCTGTAGAAATCCATTCACATGCCGGAGATGTCGCCAGATTGGGCATAGGGCGAGGGGCTGCACCAACTCTCCGTCCCCCTCCTCCCGGTCCCCTTCTGCTGCCCCTCCTTCCACCACAGTGAGGTCCCATGCTGCGTCCAGAGAAGTTGTGTCCCCTGCATCGACTCCTCCGACCCTCCCATCGCCTCCGTGGAGCTCCATGCCACGTCAAGAGCCCCGCGTCGGCGACCCGTCGCTGCGTCCTGATGAGGGGAGCGTCGTCATCATCTCCACGCCCGAGATGGACGCCAACGCTGCCAGCCTCGCCTCCTTGGGAGCCTTCCTCTGGCTTGGAGGCAGCAGGCCAGCCGTGAGCGCTGCTGAGATCAAGGAGGCCATCGACATGCAGTTCGGCGTGCGGGCTGTCAAGGTGGTGCCACACTATCCGGAGGACTTCTTCGCCCTCTTCGACTACCAGCACCAACGCGACAGGGTCACGGCGCCGGGCCGTTTTCAGCACAACGGGCTCGACATCCACTCCGCCAACTGGCGCCTTGACGCGCACTCTGATGCGATCCGGGCGGACTACCACGTCCATCTATGCATCGAAGGAATCCCTCTCAACGCCTGGTGCGACTCCGTGGCGGTGCAGGTGCTTGGGCCGAACACCTTCGTCCACTACTTCGACGTCGACACTCTACAACGTGAAGATGCTGCCAGTTTCAAGCTCTGGGCCTGGTCGGCGAACCCCTCGGCCATCCCCAAGGTGCAGCAGGTCACCATCGCGCCGCGGGTGGCCATTAGCGTTGGTGGGGCTCCGTCAACGGCTGTTGGGCATCGCGGTATCCGACGTCGCACCATTGTTCATCTCAACCAGCTGGAGGACTACACGCCCGATGCTTTCGGTAACATCTCTCGTTGCCCGCATTCTGAGCCTTTCACCTGGCGCTATGGCGTGGTGGATGGCGAGCGCCGGGTGCAGGATAGGCAGGAACCTCCGCCTCGCAGCCGTGACGATGAAGACAGGCACCGCCGCGACGACGAGCATGACACAGATGACCGGCGGGGTCGGGACAATGACCGGCCGCGATCCTCCTGGCGTGACTGTTTCTTCAGGAGCCGTTCCCGCGCTCCGGAACGCCGAGCTGATGAAGATCACCATGGTTCGTGCCGCGAGGAGCGTGGCGGGGACCGTGGCAGGGATGACCGCGGAAGGGACGGTCGGCACCGTTCTGGTTCAGCAAAGATGATTCGAGGCCGCTCTCTTCCGCCCTCCCCTCGCACCACCTCATGCGACATCATCGAGCTCACCCCCTCTGGTTCGGCCCTGGGCTGGCTCTGCGGCGCGACTTGCATGGTGACTAGAGTGCAGCCTTCCTTAACCCTGGATGCACATCAGGCCATGACTGAGATGATGCCGGCACAGCTGTCGGCCATGTCCACCCGCTCCCCTGATGTTGTGCTTGTTCCACGACAAGAAGCCCTGCTTGAAGATCCACACGACCTCAACGCCACTCCCACGCCGGAGTTTG